CTAATCTGGCCCACCAGAAACCCCTTCCTTGCCCGCACACTTTTCCTCCCCAAGCCTGCTGCCCGCATTGATGCTGGTCCAAAACAGACCAAAATTGAGGCGACTTGCCGGCCGAGAGCACTGCCCATGCTGCACCTCCGATGTCCACGCCTGTTCAATGCTGAAGAGACGTTTACTGGATAGGATGGGACGGATATCTACCACGTCAGTTCAATTCTCGTCCCTCCGTCTGCCACCATCAAACAGTCTCACCGGCCGAGAAATCAACTCCGGTGCCCGCGCATTGACGCACCCGGACGCTTTGCATCACCTGAAACGGCTATTTAAGAGTGGCCACACCCGGATCACAACATATCCGCTCCACATCCTCCTCTCGTGCACTACATCCGCCATGACCGTGAGCGGGAGCACTTTGTGGGAGAGTCTGCCAATGGGGCAAAAGCACAAGGTTGCAGCCAGTTGCGAGCCCCAACTTCGTTGTCGAGCAACAGGCGATCGGATTTGTATGAATCTTGTCTGATTTGTTTAAACTTGGTCTGAAATGTATGCGGGTATCATTGGATGAACTGCTTCCACATCCACCACGGACTGATCTTCTTTATCTGCAGACGGATGTAGAAGCAAATTTCGTGGTGAGCGTTGGACATGCCTTTGCATCCTGAAATGCTCTTCTACGTTAGTCTTACCCGGAAGACGTGGGTAGGAGTGTAATTTTTTGTCGTCTTCCTTAAAGTGCATCTGCCTAGCACCGTTCTTAATTAGTGTAATTACATGTGTCCAGCTAAAGTGTAGGAAGATTAGACATGGACAGTTAGACAGAGCGCAACTGCAAGTATGCAAGGGATAGGAAAAAGAAAGCTGGTGGCTTCCGAAGCAGCTCCGGCCGCCGGCGGCATTGCACTTTCTTCCTTGGGTTTGGTTTTCTCACTGTCTCCTTCTTCGTCGTCACCACTCTGGCCAGGTTCAATAAAGGTAACGACCAATTAGCTGTTGTTGAGATCGAAAGCACCATCCATGCATGAATGGAGGTCGACGTGGGTACCTTGGCTGCTGCCTCCGATGGTTCGCTCTTCGTGGATGACTGAGCATCGCTTCCTTCCGCTTCCTCCGTCGGGGAGGATTTGTTGCCTGTCGACGATGCAGGCGCGGATGCCTTGGCGCTGTTCGAGCCGTTCGCCTCTGTAGGCGCCGCAGCCTCCAAGGCATGAGCAGTGGCGGCCACAGGCGTTGCTGCCACTTTCGGCGGTGCCACCGGGGCGACCGACGCTTGCGCCGGCGCTGTTTTGACCTGCATCACACACGGGCGTGCATCAGAACAGCGTGTGAAAACCAGCGTGCATGTGCATGTCATCGACAACGCGTGTACGTGCTCACCGGATCTTTCATGATGCCAATGTCATACATGGGCGTGAAGTCTGGCTGGAACATCCCGAAATTGCGCTCGGCGACGGGCCCGGGCTTCAGGTCCTCGTTGAAGAGCGCGAATATGTACGTCTCGAACTTCCGCTTTGGCATGAGCGGTGTGCCTGACCCGGAGCTAACCGCACCGATGAGATATTTGTTGTATTCAGCTGCCTCGACCTGGCTCACGCCGATCTGCCCGTCCATCGCCTTAGTCGGCCACCCGGTCTCCCCAACGAGGATCTCCACGTCCTCAAACCCAAGTTTCTTCATTGCCGAGTACACCGAGTCAAGTTGTGCCACAAACATGCTCGTGTACGTGATACCCGTACCCGTGTCTAGCACGCCAGGGTTCGACCGCGCCAGTGCGTACGGTAGCGTGTCACCGTTGTACCCAAAGTACGGGTACGTGTTCACGATGAGTGGGGACTTGGTCTTCTGGAGAAATTGGAGCATCGGCGTGAAGATGGCAACATCCAAGACATCGCGAAACCGAGCCGCGGACGGCGGCTGGGCGTCAACCAGGATGCCGAGTGAGCTTGGCGTGGAAACTCGAATTTTGCTATAGCCAGCCGTGACGAGCGCAGCCTTGAGCGTCTGCATGGCGGGGACGAGGTTGCCGATGAGATTCTTGTCGGCCGTGTCCATGATCTCGTTGCCCACGGCGACGAGAGATATATCTGTGGCGGGGTAGTATGGCGCGATGTTGGTAGCGACCCATGCATCGGCGCCGTTCTGGGTGGCGAGGCCAGGGATGTCGCCATTGCTTGCTGTGACCATTACCGAGATGCCCGTGCCAGCGAAGGCCCGAATAATGTCCGGCTTGGTGTCAAACAGCTTTACACGGTCAATGTTTGTGCGGGTCACGAGGAATGCCGCAACCTTAGCCGGCGATGGAAGGTTGTCACCCTTGGTGCCGTAGTTGACACCGATCGCCATGCTGAACGGTGCTATGACGAGGAATATGCATATGACCACCTCCGCGCGGAGCATGCAACCATGCCTCGGCGGCGGCGCCATGGTGAGCCGGTGTGTCGCTGGAGGATGGCCGGCCGGACACAAGCCAAGTAGGTGGTGACGAGAGGTGCCCGATATGAAGTTTGGGCTATTATTGAGGATCCTCTAATTATAGCTACCTATACTAGGAAGGTATGCATATGCACGGAGCCGATATCTTCAAACGCATGTGTGGGCTCCGATAGGGACGGCTAGCATCGCGAGCGCGGTAGGCAGCACATATAGATGTTGCCCCCGAAATGGAATCTTATGCGAGCGCAGCGCACCCACTCGGCCTAGGTCATATGACAAGAAGGCCCTCTCCTCTCCTCCCTCTTTGGATTATTACTAGGACTGGAATATATCATCACTATGGCATCAGGTTATGTATGCATGCACGCAGATGTGACAAAAACAATGATATTGATGCTTAACTTGCTACTTGAATTTACAATAGGTCTTCAATGGTTGGCTTGGCTTTGTGTTGATGAGATCCTTTGTTACTACAAAAAATATTGGACGAAGAAAGAACAAGAGGTGGGCCACCAGCTAGCCACAAGGATGGAGGGCGCGCCCCCAACCTTGTGGGCCCCCTGGCAGGCCTTCGGTGTCCATCTTTGTCTATATGGTGTGTTTTGACCTGAAAAAAAATCAAAAGGAAGCTTTCGGGACGAAGCGCCGCCGTCTCGAGGCGGAACCTGGGCATAACCAATCTAGGGCTTCGGCTGAGCTATTCTACCAGGAAAACATCCCTTCAGGAGTGGGGAAATCGAAGCCATCGTCATCACCAACGATCCTCTCATCGAGAGGGGGTCAATCTCCATCAACATCTTCACCAGCACCATCTCCTCTCAAACCATATTTCATCTCTTGTATTCGATCTTGGTCCCAAAACCTCAGATTGGTACATGTGGGTTGCTAGTACTGTTGATTACTCTTTATAGATTATGATAGTTGGTTTATTCGATGGAAGATTATTTTTTCAAATCCTTAATGATAATTAATACTCGTCTGATCATGATTATGAATATGTTTTGTGAGTAGTTAAGTTTATTTCTGAGGACATGAGAGAAGTCTTTGTAAGTAATCATGTGAATTTGGCATTCGTTCGATATTTTGGTGAGATGTATGTTGTCTTTCCTCTAGTGGTGTTATGTGAACGTCCACTACATGACACTGCACTATTATTTGGGCTTAGGGGAAGGCATTGGGAAGTAATAAGTAGAGGATGGGTTGCTAGAGTGATAGAAGCTTAAACCCTAGTTTATGCGTTGCTTCGTAAGGGGCTGATTTGGATCCATATGTTTCATGCTATGGTTAGGTTTACCTTAATTCTTCTTTCATAGTTGCGGATGCTTGCGAGAGAGGTTAATCATAAGCGGGAGGCTTGTCCAAGGAAGGGCAGCACCCAAGCACCGGTGCACCCACATATCAAATTATCAAAGTAACGAACGCGAATCATATGAGCATGATGAAAACTAACTTGACAACAATTCCCATGTGTCCTCGGGAGCGCTTTGCTTTATATAACAGTTCGTTCAGACTTTTTCTTTGCTACAAAAAGGATTGGTCCACCTTGCTGCACCTTAGTTACTTTATTTACTTGTTACCCGTTACAATTTATCTTATTACAAAACTATATGTTACCGAGAATTTCAGTGCTTGCAGAGAATACCTTGCTGAAAACCACTTGTCATTTCCTTCTACTCCTCGTTGGGTTCAACGCTCTTACTTAGCGAAAGGACTACGATAGATCCCCTATACTTGTGGGTCATCAACGTCCATCGGGCCCATCATTTCCACCATGGACCTCACGTTTATCGGTGACGGACAGGTCATGAACTCCTACGAAGATGAGTAGGGCATGGGAGGTGGCAGGGGCATTGTGTCCCAAGTGGGCTTGTCTTTCTCCCATGTTCTACTCTTTCTCGTCGGAGACCACAGCTTCACTTCACGGGTCTTGTCACCGTCGTTCATCACTCACGAAGATGGATGGAAGAGATGGTCGCGGGAAGGGAACAATAATGACTTGGACGACGGATGCCGCCGTAGTCTAGGTCTAGGCCTGCCCCCCTCATCGGAATCATTGGTTGTCTAGCTCCCACATCTGTATCTGCAGGTTGGTCTACTTTATCCGTGGACGAGTGCGGGAGGAAAATTTGGTGGTGAGCATTGGAGATTCCCTTTCCCTTTCCCGACCCACAAACCCGCCACAACCATCCGGACGTGGAAGCCATCTAACACGGTCATGAATCGGTATGCGGCGCGGTACGACCGTGTTTTCTCCGGCAAACTAAAGACAAACATGGGGGGTGTCGGTGTCAAAACCGGCGGATCTTGGGTAGGGGGTCCCGAACAATGCGTCTAGGCCGGATGGTAACAGGAGGCAAGGGACACGAAGTTTTACCCAGGTTTGGGCCCTCCCGATGGAGGTAAAACCCTACGTCCTGCTTGATTAATATTGATGATATGGGTAGTACAAGAGTAGATCTACCACGAGATCGGAGAGGCTAAACCCTAGAAGCTAGCCTATGGTATGATTGTTGATGTGTATCTTGTCCTACGAACTAAAGACCTCCGGTTTATATAGACACCGGATAGGGTTAGGGTTACATAGAGTCAGTTACAATGGTACGAGATCTGCATATCCGTATCGCCAAGCTTGCCTTCCACGCCAAGGAAAATCCCTCCCGGACACGGGACGAAGTCTTCAATCTTGTATCTTCATAGTTCAGGAGTCCGGCTGAAGGTATAGTCCGGCTATCCGAACACCCCCTAATCCAGGACTCCCTCAGTAGCCCCTGAACCAGGCTTCAATGACGACGAGTCCGGCGCGCAGATTGTCTTCGACATTGCAAGGCGGGTTCCTCCTCCAAGTACTTCATAGAAGATTTTGAACACATAGATAGTGTCTGGCTCTGCAAAATAAGTTTCCACATATTGCCGTAGGGAGAATAATATTTACACAAATCTAATCTGCTGACGTATTCCGTAGCATGACACACCACGGCCAAGCCTTTATCCGAGTCGTTTCATTATCCCACCTCAGCGCGTCATGCGAGGCGGTTTCCTTGGCACGTCTTGTTAAAGCAGAGATCGTGTCCCCTTATCCCGGGATTCTCATCAATACGGGCGTGGGTAACCCAACCGCACCATTGATTACGGCGCTTGGAGATAAGCGAGTTTTACCAGGCTGGTGGGAACATGTAGTTGCGTCCATCCATATAAGGGGATAAGGATCCACCTTTTCACCTACGCCTTCTTCCTCCTTCACCTATCCATTCTTGCACACTCGAGCTCCAGCGCCCAAGTCCGCACTCCCCACCTCAACCTTCTCCACCCATGTCCAGAGCGGGAGGCAAGTGGATGGTCTCCTCCATCATGGAGGGACATATCAAAAAGCTGAGGAAGGCCGGATACCTGTCTAACGACATCCCGTACCGGCTTCCCGAAAAGGGGCAGCTCATCCCCACCCCTAGGCCCCATGAGAGGGTGGTGTTCCTCCCCCATTTCCTCCGCGGATTGGGCTTCCCTCTCCACCCATTTGTCTGGGGGCTCTTGTTCTACTACGGCCTGGATTTCCATGATCTGGCCCCGAACTTTGTCCTCAACATCTCGGCGTTTATCGTCGTGTGTGAGGCTTTCCTCCGCATCTGCCCCCATTTCGGCCTATGGCTCAAGACTTTCAATGTCAAGCCGAAGGTGGTGCGCGGCAACCAGGCGGAGTGCGGAGGCGCCATGGTGGGCAAGATGGCCAACGTCCTATGGCTCGAGGCTCCTTTGTGGAGACCCTGAAGGGGTGGCAATCGGGGTGGTTTTAGATCACCGAGCCGCGCAACACCGAATGGGTCGCATCCCCCGAGTTTCGATCCGGACCCCCTACGCGGCTCACCTCCTGGAAGGAGACGGGCCTGTCGTGGGGTTAAAAAAGGAGAGCTGACCGAACTCCAAACATGCGTCCAAACCCTAGTGGACAAGAAGCTCAAACTTGTCAACGTAGTCCAGGTTATGGTCATCCGCTTGATCCTCCCGTGTCAACAACGGGCTTTCAACCTGTGGGAGTTTGACCCGGCGCGGCACCAAACTTTGAGCAGGCTCTTCGACACGACATACGAAGATGCCTAGAAGGTGCTTTTCAAGAGCGCCGAGGCTCCCGCATCCGCTACCGAGGATCGCGGATTCAGTGCGCAGCGTCACGCTCTTGCGGTAAGCTGTTTTTTCCTTTTACTGGGTATCAGTTTTTCATAGTTTGACTCCATGTGGGATCTAAGATCCCTTACCTTTGACAGGATTGGCAGGTGACGTCCGGACAGATCAACTGTCTGGCTCCTTTGCCCGAAGGCCCAGCGGACGCTCGCTTGGCGAAGCTGCTGGTTCCGGCACCCTATGTGGTGCTAGAGGAGAAGGCCGCGAAAAAGGACACGGGGACTCAAAAGAGTGCCCGGCGCCAGGAGGTGTCGGATCCATCATCCGACGGTTCCGAGGTGCATTCCTCCCGTGAAGACGAGGAGGAAGAAGAAGAGACCTCTCCCCCTCCAGCGGGAGGAGAGAAGAAAAGGAAGGCCACCCTCTCTGGGGAGGCCGGAGGGTCCAAGAAGGGGAAAACCCTTCCTCCGGATTACTGCACCGACGCCGACGACGGCGGAGAGGAGTGGCTGCCAGGGCCAAGCCCCTAGCAAAATTGTAAGTATCTAGATACCAGAGTAATTCATAGTATTCATTTATTGCACAGCTTTCCCTTACGTCGAGCGGCTCACTGGACTCGTCGGATGTGAACTCGCTTCCGACGGCTTCCTCCCCCCGCCCTACGGATGACACCAAAGTGTTGTCCCAACAGGTTCCAAGCCGGGAGGAGGTGGTCCTAGAGGTGCCGCAAGGCGACCTCCCGGACTCCAGGAGTAAAGGGGATGAAACCCCCCAGGGCTCCAAGTCCGGCTCTAGGCCGGACACTGCTCCGGAACCTTCAAAGGTTCCAGAGTCCGGCGGGCGACCTCCTTCCAAGAGGAGCTAGCCCACTGTGCCGG